GTTGAAGTGGCTAAACTATAGGAATAGGCATTGGAAAAAAAATAAGTGATGGATGCTAATTTTAGCGTTCGCAAAGCATAGGCCATGGCGTAAATATTATGCTTCAAAGACGTAGAGATAATGTAAACAGTTGAAACTATAATAACGACAATGATAATTAGAAATGTAAAAAACGGGATAGACCTTGGTCCATAAGTGGAAATAACAAAATATAATAAAACGATAAAGTACGAAAAATTTATAGCAAACATGACTACTGCATATATGCTATATATATAATAAACATCGAAATGATTGCATAATAAAAATTTATCGCGTTGAGGATCACGTCGATATCGATAATATTCATACATGGACACAGAAAAGGAAATCAAAGAAGCAAAGATTGTGAATACAGTATAAACTTTTAAAGTAAGAAATAGGATAGAGGGATATGTTTCTAGGGGAAAAATAAAAGAGGGGATCAACAACGTTAAAGCCGGCAAAATCATTTGAATAAAATCGTTGAGAAACCGTTTCCATAATGCCACTTTACCGCCTGCAGCTTCAGGAATGACGAAAAATTGATATAGAATCGGGAGAACGCGAATATAAAAATATTTTATATCTGTCCATAAATCTTCCCGTTCGTAGGAAATATTATCTGTGAAAGGATTTTTAAGAGTGACGTTCACGTGGTCGTTAGCACTATTTACGTCATTCCCATTCACAAACGAAGGTTGTATTAAGGGCAAATAGTAAACTGCGACGAGAACAAAAATGTATGCTTTCATGATTCAAGTAAAGTTTTAAAAATGTGTGTATCAAAGTTTAGAAAGAAATGTTCAGAAAACGGACGGTAGGGCTTAATAAATACGCAAAATAAAATCGGTGCAACGGTTAGGCTTTTCCGAGAAATTATTTTTGAAGCTGCCATTTTCCATTTCTATGCAATATTATGCTCACGAGAACTTTGCCTACGCGACGTTTCTCGTGTGATTTTTTGTTTCCCGTGAACATCAAGGCTTTCGGACCCGGAATTTAGAACTCGGGTACTGTACTTGAAATAGATGGATTAAAGAAAAAAAAACCCCCTTAATTAGAAAGCCTTTTTTGTCAATCCAAGTCTACGGGACGTAAATATGCATGTAGTGATGCAAATTATGTAAAAGGTAATAATCGACGACCCACATGAAAATGGTGATGACGTTACTATGGAGTAATGCTTATTATGTA